GCACAAGTGCTGTGATGCAACAGAAAGAGAAACCAAGATGAAAGCTACAGTGTCTTTTCCAGTCCCATCTCAGAATGATACTATTTCTTCTACCATATCCCTTTGGTCACACAGACCAACCCTGATACACAATGGTAAGCACTACATAGCCATGCAAAAAACAGAAGGTAGGGATTATGGCAGGCCATTCTGGAGGCCTGCCAACTCAGTGTTTTTAGGAAGCTTTATTGATGTCCACCTGCTTCTGTCAGTTGAAAGCTTTGTGAATTTGGGGGAAGTTTTATATCCTCCAAACCTCACTTGTCTGTAGGATGATATATAGATGTATATCTATATATAAGTGTTATTTGAAAAAATATACACAAATGTCCCCCTCATCTCATAGGACAGGTAGGTGGAACTCCGAGCATGCAAGTAAAAATGATAAGCAAGACAAAAGAACAATAGCATCACATCAGCGCTGCCACACTGAGGCAGAAGCCAGCTCTTGAGTGCCGAAGACCATCAGCACAAGAGTGCTGCCTCTAGTGAAATTTGTAGGAATGCACAAAGCCAGCAATTTCAACAGAACCAAAGGTTTATGAAAGGTGCAGCAGTGATGCCCTGGCTGGGCGGCTCAGTTGGTTGGTTTCATCCCCTACACCAAAGGGTTGTAGGTTGGATCCCCGATGGGACACATACCTAGGTTGCGGGGCTTGATCCCCTCTTGCGGCATGTAGTGCAGGGAGGTATCCAAACAATGTTTTTCTCTCACATCGATGTTTCTCTCTCTCTCTCTCTCTCTCTCTCTCTCTCTCTCTCTCTCAAATCAATAAACAAATTCTCAGGTGAGGAGTTTAAACAAAAAGGAAGGTACAGCAGTGATGGGCTCCACATCAGAAAACAGCCGGGCTGTGTGCAGAAGAAACAGAAAGCTGAGCATCAGGTAACCTCTCCAGGCAGCAGGGTGGGCCCAGTAAGGCCCGTCCTCAAAGCCAGATGTGGATGATGATTTAAAAGTCAAATACAGCAAACACCAGCAACCTGCTACTGTAATTCAAAGGATTTCAGGAAGTTGTGGTGTCATTGCACACCATTCCCTGCTTCTCACACTCAGTGGGCAGAGGGTCACCAGAGGTATTGTTACAGCATAGATTCCGAGCCAGTAGATCTGAGGCAGGACAGAGATTCTGTGTTTCTAACAAATGCTCAGGTGATATCACAGCTCCTGCTCTGCAGACCAAACTGAGCAGCCAGGATAGATGTGTGGTAATATTGGGAACAATAGGGGCATCACTGCAAGGGCTGGAACCCAAGAGCCACCTGGGAATATCTACTCAGTTTCAAATCATTTCTCTTCATCCTGGCTGCCAGCTACCCCTCAGCGGGTAAGGTCCATAAACAAGTCCTTGTAGATTGGAATAACTGGTTCTTCAATCTTTGTAAAACAGGTTTTAAAAAGTAGGGAAAAGTCAAAAGACTAATCCTATACAAATAAGATTTGGTTTCAGAATAAAATGCTCATTCATACTGGATAAATAGCTCCTTCAAGGCTAAATGCTTCCCTAAATTGAACTTCTTTTTTTCAAACTCACATGTCCCTTCTGTCCTTGAAACTGCTTTCCCTCAAGGGAGTATTTGATTTCTTAGGAGAGCATCACATTTTACAATTCGTGATTCAATCTGAAGTTTAGCTAAATGTTTAAACACATCATAAATATTTAAATTAGATCCTCAAATATTGCACATATACAGAAATAAATTATTCAAGTTGTTAACAATAATTAACCATGAGTAGATGTAAAGATTACAGGGAATTTAAATATTCTTTTTCACATATTTCTATGTATTCCAAATTCTCCATAAGTAATATGTGCTATTTTCATAGAAACAAATATATGGTTATTGTATATGCAAGTAATTTCTCAGGCCAAGCCATATAGCCAACATCAGATTTTGCTGTCTCCCAAGATCAGAAATGTAAGCAGTATTAATTGGCTTCTACCATGCTTTATACACAATACTAGGAACTGAGGATAAACACACACACACACACACACACACACACACACACAGTCCCTGTTCTTAAAGCTGTAAGTGTCACTGGGTGCGGGGACATAGAGGATGATGCTTAGTTGATCTGGGCAATTCAGGGGAGTTGAAGAATAAATCAGAGTTTGCCCAGCAGAAATGCAAAGAGAGGACTTCCCAGACCAAGGAAAGGACATGAAAGACACCTTCACTGTCTAATTTTTCAGCAAGTCTGATTTTAAAGCCCATTATCCTCAGTAACTTGTTAGTTCATGTCAAATCTCTGAGGGTTATTTCTGTGAACAGTAAATTTGGTTGATTAGATTTTGTTGTTAATGAGAACATCATGTTAATTGGATGGCTGAACAAAAGAATGTGCACAGAGAAACTAAGGTGAAGAACCCTAAAAGACTTTAATCTTAGTCCAGAAGGGTTTCTGAGTTAGGTAGTCCCAGGAATTTATTCAACAGCTAATCCAAGGAATTTATTCTTCACTGTTCATGAGAGACAGATTTTTGAGGGCATACTTCAGAAAATAATTCTCTTCCTGCAACCTTCCCACCCACAAACACACATAACACACACAAGCACACAGTCTCTCCCCATCACCTCCAACACCACCTAACACATACATACAACACTTCATAGAAACCAATAGAAAGAAAATAAACTCATCAATATAAAACAACCCTGCTCCTGAGCAGAAAACCAAACCCTCAAAATTACACACCATTTATATTGGTAGGACAGTTTGCTTATCCTGTCTTTTATTCATTTATTCAACAACACTTACCAGTTCTAGGCACTCAGATATGACTGAGACACAATGTTTGCCCTCAAGAAGTTACAAATGACAGACCATGGCACAGTGCAACGAGAGCAGAAATCAATGGATGGAGATGGACAGGTTGTTAGGGGCAGATGCACCTAAGTCAGCCCGGGAGGGAGTTGTCCTGGCAAACTACAGAGAACTAGGGATTGCTCAGCATGGCTGGAGCAAAGGGTGAATGTAAAAGGGTGGCAGGCAATAAAGCTGAAAACTTGGACAGAAATGGGATCACGAAAGGCCTTAGGCGCTAAATGAAAGAGTGTGAACTTTATCCTTGAAAGCTGCAGGGAGCTATTGAAGGGTTTTAATCAAGGAAATGGCATGATTAGAAGGATCGATATCACAGCAGTGTGGAGGACAGATTGAAGGGAGGCCACACTGGGGACAGGAAATGCAGTCACATAGCTACAGTAGAACTTAGAGACAGTTAAGGAGTTCAAGTTAGTTGTACAAATAAGGAAAAAACAGAAGAGTTTAAGACATAGTGGGAAACAAGATTTTCACAACATAGTTGCCAAGGGTACCTCCCTAGGCTCCAGATTCTGGGGTACTCAGTGCATGGGGAGAAAAACCACAGGGAGAGTGCTAACCTCAAAGGAGTTTTCAGTTAGAGTGAGAAGGTGACAGAGATATTCACAGAGGAGACTGAAGATGTAAGGCAGTTTGTCAGTGATAGGCCATGAGTTCTAGAAGCCACAGTTAAATGTTCTGGAAGAATCAAGTGGGTGGCATGAGGGAGCAAGAGAGACACAGCAGTTTGGAAATAAGCATTAATACAAAGATAGGTTATCTGGAAGTCTTGAAGGGGCATGTGGGCCCGAGGCGGTCAATCTCAGATGCTTGAAGGCTGAGGTATATCCCCATTAGCCAACTTATTTGCCCATAAAACATTTTAAAGCTATAACTTAATGCCTTTTAAAATAATCAAAAGGAGTTTGTGAAATATGATGAACTCTTTGATAAAAATAAGTAATTTGAAAAATCATCTTAAATTAGTCGCTGCAAAAAATTATCAAAAACCTTAAAAAAACTTTTATTAGTGATATTTTAGTGCCTCTAAGAGAACAAATTAGAGAAATCAAATATTTTTGTTTGTTGGTTTTAGTAAGAACAGATATGAGAAATGATAAAGATGGAGGTCTGGCCTCCAGAAGGGCAGGTGGGGCGGTGGGGAAGGGGGGGAGTTCCAACCACCTGTGCAGAGGCTCCTCCCGCCTCCATCCAGTCCTAGTTGGGTCATTTCCCTGCACAGTGTCCCAGCCCTTTTTCCAGGTTCCTGTCAGCCTTTTGGTTTCCTCAAAGGGCCCTAATGCTAGAAAAGCAGGTTTTCATTTAGAATGATCAAGCAGCCTTTAGACTTGGAATTTGCACCTAAAGCTGGTGGGTAGCTTCTACCTCCAACCCTAGCCCCTCCCCATTACCATCCAAGCTTCCATCCAAACAGCCAGTGTCAGCGACACGGCATGCCTAATAAAAAGTCATCATCAGGCCCTTGAAGTGGGCTCAGATACGTTTGGATGGGAAATTTCAGGGACCAAAGCATCCAGAACATAGTTTATATATTGGCAGAGGGAGGGATCCCAAGACATTCAGATCAGCGGTCCTCCAGGAGAGGCCAACCTGCAGCCGGCAGGTTGAGTGTGGCTCAGAATGGCTATGAATGTGGCCCAATACAAAATTGTAAATTTACTTAAAACATTATGAGATTTTTTTTTGTATTGCAGTATGTTCAGTGTGTGGCCCAAGACAACTCTTCATCTTCCCGTGTGACGCAGAGAACCAAAAGGTTGGATTTTCCTGCCATGGCCCTAATGGGAGAAGCACAGCTGGAGGAGGGCCAGAGAGGGGTCTTCCAAGTGAAGGGCTCAGAGTGAGGGCCTTCTTGCCCAGGTCTAAGTGTGGAGCTGCGTCCAAAAGATGGAAAAAAGTGTACATTGTCCTACCACAAAGAGACCTGACCAAGAAGCCATAAGAAAGAGTAAGAGTTGTTAAAAACAAGATAGCAGGCCCAAAATGGAGTCATTTATGCTGTGTTTTACTTCTCCAAACTGAGAATTAACTGGATTAGAGTTTTGGCTCTCCCAGAATTGGAATCTTAAGCCAGTTGGTCAGGAATCCCCTGATCAGCACTAGTTAGGAACTGTGCCTGATAGACCCACACATTGCCTGTAAGGAATGTGACCTTGCACTGCTTTTTGCACAGCCTGGGTCCAGAAACCTGTGCCTTCACAGAGGATCTAGAAACCAGCTGAGGCCAGAATAGGTCCAACTTAAAGACTGAACTGGGTCTGGGATCAGACTGGGAAACCAGACTGGGTCTGGGGTTGGACTGGTCCATTTACCACAGGTGAGCTAAAATTTGTTTTAAGGCTGAAAAAGCAGGTTAGCTTTACCAAGTCACAGTGGCCACAGTAGGGAACTTTCAACCTAGACAAGCTTAACCATTTATGAGGCATCCTAGAGAAAAAGAGGTTTCAGCCAAGTACTCCCCATGAAGCATAGAGGAAAAATTATTTTGCCTCCTCTACAGTTTCTGGTAACCAGGATGAGACCTGCTGGGACACGCCGTTCACCCCAGAGCCTAGAGACGGATCCTAGGAAAACTGGCAGAAGCTGGAAAAGGGTGAGAATTTTTTCTGTTTCTATCTGGTGCCTGGCGAAGAGAGGAACATAAAATTGCTCATTGTCCCATCCTTTCCAAATTGAGATTGGCAGGCAAAATATAGGTGTAAAATTTTGATCTTTGAACTGTGACTCATGAGTTTGCTTTTGCATATTCATTGGTTGTCAGCCTTTTCTCTCCCAGGGACAGTTTTGTTTGTGTTTACTTGTTTGTCCCATTTTGTGCCCTGAGAACTTGATTTGGCAATAGATTAGCATACCAGTTCCAGCAGTTCATTTTAAAATAATGGCCAAGTCAGGTTTGACCTAGGATTGAAAAAAAGCATTGAATTACTGAAAAGCCTAACAATTATGTCACCAAATTAATTTATGCAAACTAGGGAATCATGAGATTTCTCCAATGACACAGAAATATTTGATTATTTATTACTTAAAAACTAAAATAAAGCAAAACATTTCCTGAGACTAGGAATAGAAAACTTGGAATTTCCTTATTTATAAGGTTTGGCCACCAACATTCTATACCAACATAAATAACCTTCTACTAGCATGATTTAAATAAATCAGCAGTTTTATAAAAATCAGCTTGAAAAATCAAAAGTCATCCTATGCACCAGCAATAACCAAGTACACAGTGGCAATCTGCTCACAACAGCAATGTGAACAGGTAATTAACCTTATGAGGAATGACCAGGAACTAATCATGGTGGCTTAACATCTATAATTTTAATGTCAACTCAACCAAAATTCCATCAGGTTTTTTTACCATATTTTTGAGACTTCAAATCCTCCCCCTTGATTACAATTATATGTATACTTGTCTTCTTCCCTCTCTTAGACCCCAAGTCATTTGAGGATAGTAATGTCTTCTCCATTTTTAAAATTCTTCAAAGCTCCTAATAACACAGAGCTTTATATGACAGGAGCTTAAAGAAACTTATGTCTGTTCCAGAGGAGAGTGGGGAGTGGGAGACTGGGTGAAAGGAGGAGAGAGAGCTAGCCAGAGAACATGCATGCATGGCCCACAGACACAGAAGACAGTGTGGTGATGGCCAGAGGGAAGGGGGTGAGGGCTGGATGGAAGTGGTCAAAGGGGGAAAATGGAGACAGCTGTAAAGTGTCAACAACAAAAATAAAGTTACAAAAAAAGAAATAAATGTCAAAAAAAGGAAAGGAAAGAAAGTGTGAAGGTATTAAGTTGGCCAAAAAGTCCATTTAGGTTTTTCTCAGTAAAATAAACCACACATGTTTCATTTTCACCTATAACTTTATTGATTTGGATATTTTGGGTATGTTGGCTATCCCCCATGTGGTAGAACAGTGATTGTTCTCAATTAACGTCTCTATTTGATCACTGTCAACTTCAACTGGTTTCCCTGACCGTGCAGCACTGCCCAGCAAGAAACCTCTAGCACAAAACTCCGTAAACCACTTCGACATGTTCGATAAGTCACAGCACCTTCTCCACACACTGCACAAATCATTTTTGGGTTTCAGTTGTGTTTTTACCTTTATTAAAATAATAAAGCATAATATGACAAAAATGTTGCATATTTTCTTCCATCTTCAATATTAAAATGGCCACACAAAAATTCACCAGTTTTGATAAGTTTTTAAAAATTTGATAAGTTTTTTTTAAATGCATGCTGATATGACAGCTGTCACAATACAATCTAACAAAATTGTTTCAAATGAAGTTAAAGACAACTAAGTGCTAATAGAGCCATCTTACAGGAAAATCCAAATGAACTTTTGACCAAGCCAATACAGTTTCCATTTTTCATGATTTGCCCTAGCAAGAGTTCTGAAAGTGGATATAAAGTGGTACGTCATGGCTGAAGAACTTCTCTTCTTCTAAGAGCTGTACTTTCCGATGTTCAGATTGACTATACCCTAAATCAATTGAAGTGCTAGTAAAGGTGTCTCACCTTTAAAATTATATATCACTGAATATTAAAGGAAATATTTCACTGACAGTTTCATATTGATTTCTAATTCAATTTACCTTTGGGCCCTCATGTACCAGATATTTTCTCATAATAGAAGCTTTTGGAAAATTACTGTATATTAAATAATTTTCTTAAATTATATATATTTCTGTTCCTTCTCCTTTTTACAAAAAAAAAAAACAACCCACACACCTCAATTTTGTTTCTAAATTACTTATCAGTGTCTCTTTAAATAGCATATGAATCAGGCAATGCATCTGGCAAATTACTAGCTTGTATAATGTCCATATATTTCCTCAATAGAAATAGAATCAGGATACTCAACAAAATTATTCAGTGGTGCAAAGATTATGTCTATTCTACAAATTTTGAAATTCTCAGATTTCTGAACCCATAGACTCATAAATATTAGAACTTAAAATTGATCTTAATAATTAGATGAGGACAGAGAGAGGTTAAGTGACTTTCTTATCATCACAGAAAAGTTGCTGAAAGAAAATACAGCAGACACAGTCAATCAATCAACCAATCAATCAATCAGCTATTCATTGAATTCCCATACCTTTTTGTTCTGATCATTATGCCATTATTCATGGTAGGGTATATATGAACAAAGTCATGTAGAACAGCTGGACTTGCACAAAATTATGAGGTCAATAATGGTTTCCTTTCTTTCACAAATTTCTCTTTCATGAAATACCAACCAGTTCCTCACTCTCTGGATGTGTTACCTCAGAACCATTATTTAATATTTCACGTGTACATTGGAGATGCTGTCTATTCATAGAACTGCTTAGTCACCTAACCATAAAAACTGATGAAAAGCATTTTTCTTCTTCTCTTTAAAATAATATGTTTTCCTAGTGTCTAACATCCTATTTCTATCAGAACAGGAAAAATATCTCTCAACCTAACTTACTCTTTGACAAACTAATATACACCATTTTCCAAAAATCTTTCTAAATTATATTATTCTAAAATAAAAATTGTTTGACTGTATAAAAGAAATATCGCATGGGCCATCTGCATAAACTCCTTTGTGACTATATATTATACTGAAATATAGTTACTTACATATATACTAAAATTTGACACAGTGACTTTGTTACAAGTTTATAACACCAAAAGGGAGGGTATGGTAGAAAGAGCACTAGATTGTGAGTCAGGAAACCTTGCCCATAGTTCCGGCTTTGCCATTAATCATGTCATTCAGGGTCAATCACTTAATCTCCCTCACCTGCAAACTCAGGGAGCTGAGCCAGGTGATTTCTGAGGCCCTTCACTCTAGAAAACTCTCTGTTTCTCAATGCTTTTACGGGTGCTCAGTCATCCTGAGATTTTCTCCTTCCTCATACTTGTAACTTACACACAACTATCAAGGGCCTTAGCATTTCCTGGAGATTTGCTCTTGAAAATTAGACACACGGCCTGAAAATGAAGAATAAGGGAATATGAAAGGATAAGAGCTATGGTTGCACAATGATCAGCTATATGTGGAATAATATGGCTCATCTCATCTGAATCACTAGTCTATCCTAGCAGTTGCCCTCAGAATATGCCTTAAAGAGAAGTATTATGAAAAAGATTTGAAGAGTAGGCGTGTTTACTTTTGAATTTAGTGAAAGGAAAAGACTAAGCCAATTGTCAAAGTTTATAGTAGACATAATTCCAGTACTGCATCTCTCTCAGACCTTGAACATTATAAGTGATGACACATTTGGAGAGATCTTAATCTTTTTAACCCCCAGAGGATAGTACCCTCTGAAGCCATGTTTACCTGCTACTACCCTAACTATAGCCCATCTAAAGAGAACATTTTCATTCATTTCATTCATTTACACATTGCCTCATTTATTCAAAAGCAATTTTAAAAAATTGAATTCCTTCTATTTAATTCAAAAGCAATTTTAAAGGCAATTTTAAAAAATTGATTCCTTCCACTTCTGCACTGGATTCCTACTCTTTTTACCTACTCAAGAAAATTGCTACAGTGATTCTCCCCTAACTCACATAAATGTGTCCTCTTTCCTGAATATTTCCCATCTACATAAAAGTGCTATAATTTCTCCCATGAAAAAATAAACCCATCTTGACCTCACCCCCCTTTCGCTTCTCTTCTTATGGAAAAATTCCTCACAAGCATTGCCGGTATTTCCTATCTCCAACTACTCTCTCCCCTTCAGTGTCTCTTGAACCCTATACAACCAGGCTTTTGCCTCCACTGTTTTACCATAATAGTGTTTGTCCAGGAGAACAATTACCTTCATATTGTTAAATCCAGTGGTCAAATCCCAGTTCTCATTTTAGTTGACATATCAGCAGCACTTGACATAGAACATCCCTTCCTTTTCCCAGAAACAGGTCCTTCATTTAGCTTCCAGGTAACCATAATAAAAACAATAATAAAGACTAACACTAGCTAGCACTGTTCCATTTATTTATATATTTTTTAGTTCACCTGCATCTGCCATAATGTATCTGGTTTTTCATAAAGGCTGTACAAATAAATTCAATTTTGCTATGATGAAGAGTGCAACCCTTACATCTTGTTCGTCTTTGGTAGAATTCCTGCAGTTTCTCCTGGATGGAGTACTGTGGTGTTACCCTGATTCACTGTGTTACCCAGAGTACAGTGTGGGTGCTGGGGGAGGGCAGGAGGGATGCAGGCAATTTCAAAGGCTTCCACTTGGCCTTTTGTCACAGAATTGGTCTTTTTCAAAAGTGAGGGAACCAAAGTGATGCCTCTACCCATTGCTGAATGTAGCCATCGTGATTAGTTACCCAGGAACTGAAGAAATGACCAGAGACAAGTAACGGGGTTGGGCCTGCTATGAGTTGAGCATGGGCCAGGACTCCATGTGTTTCTCGGTCCCTATCTTTAGCAAGTCTAACAAGGGTGCCATGGCAGCATTTTGAGGCCCCCAGTATCAGGATTGGATCAACCTTCTTATCCAATAATCTTCACAAGATCGAAGTATTTCTCCAACCCCAGTGCACAGTGTATTTGTAAATGGCCATAGGGCCCTTTGATAATAAACTGGTAAACAGCTTC